TATATATATATATATATATATATATATATATATATATATATATATATATATATATATATAGACATTACATCTCTCTCTCTCTCTCTTTCGCATCCCTATTCGTGATTCCTCCGTTACAGTGTTGCGCTAACAGCGCATCCTCGTTACAAAATGCTCGTCAACAGAAAGAAGACGTCGTTTCCCCCCGGTCCTGTGCATAACCGGAGGGGTAGTGAAACGCGTTTCACTAATATCCCGATGTTTCGACCCGGCCCGGCCCGGTCTAAATGTCTCCCTCCCCAAATCGGTTCCGTTCTTGGATAAGGCTCTTCGTCATCCACACACAACAGAGCAGAAACCTAACTGAACCTCGGCTTGCCCGCCCCGCCTCGCACCCGATGGACTCTCTGGCCTTCCTCCGCCCCGCGCCTCTCGCTCCTGTCCAAAACCCCACCCGCTCTCTCCAGCCCCCACCGCTTTCCCCCTCTGGGTTCCGCCATCCTCGGCCGCTCCGGCCCCCGGCGGCCCTCAATAGCCCGCGAGGCTTCGGCACCTCGCCCCAAATGGTCGGCAAGAACCCGAAGAGGAAGAAGCGACTGGGGATTGACGATAAAGAAGACGATGAAGACGACGAAGGCGGTGGCGGCGGCGACGACGACGGCGACGGGACGATCCCGGAGGTGGTGACGAACAGGATGATGCGGCGGATGGGCGTCTCCATCGGAATCCCGCTGTCGCTGGGCCTCCTCTTCTTCCCCTTGTTCTACTACCTCAAGGTGGTGGCCAAGGTGGACGTGCCCTCCTGGGTCCCCGTCCTCGTCTCCTTCTTCTTCTTCGGGGCGTCCCTGCTGGGTGTCAGCTATGGGATCGTCTCCGCCAGCTGGGACCCGCTTCGGGAGGGATCCTTCCTCGGCTGGAACGAGGCCCGCCGCAACTGGCCCGTCTTCTGGCAATCGCTCCGGGGCGGCGGCAGCGGCGGAGCCAACAAGAAGTAGTTACCGGGCCCCACCGACAACTACCTCTTGTCATGAGTTCTGTTCGTCTTAAACCTCCTGTTACTTGCGTCGGTGGCCGTTTTCTTGTGTTGTAATTACATCAAAAAATAAGAATTGAGTCGTTGGCTGTGATCTTATGTTGCGATTACAGCACAGCATAGCATGGGTTAATTAAAGACCTTTTTTCAAAAAAGAATTTGATGTTAAGACTTGTATAAAATATTAGAAATATAGATATTAATGGGAAATTTTGTTTAAAACCTATTTACATGATAACTATAAAATATATTTACAACATTTCACTGCAAAAAAATTGATTATTTAAGGGTATATATATATATATATTTATTTATCATAATCTTTTGGTAAATAAAGTCAATAAGGTGAATCCGTTCGAAAATATTATTGACTCAAAATTTAACAAAAATCAATATATATATATATATATAATATAATTTTAAAATATTTTTTACTGATTTAAGAATACAATAACCAAATTAGGAAGATTTCTTTGTTTCAAAAGACTGAGAGCAAATCGAATCAACATGAAAAGGAGGAGCTTCTTTAGTCAGTTCCATTACGAACCGTAACAGAAGACCCGTCCACCGGGCTCGTTCGTACGTCCAAAGCCGGCCACTTACCAGCCTCCGCCGCTGCCACCAGTCTCTTTCGTACGCCAAAGAGACGAAATAAGAAAGCCGTGGCCGGTGGCCGGTCCTCGGTTATCTTGAGGAGGGGAGAAGACGGGAATTGACGGTACATCCTATAATTAGACGATCTAATCTTCGCATTACTTGGAGACCATCATCCGGTCACGTCCCCAGCAGATGACATGGGAAGGGAAAAAGAGAAAGCTTGCTGGGGATGTGGACTATCCCTTTCTTGGACTGGAAGAAGTCGAAGGAGACCTTTAACTAAAGCCTGGATCACTCCGAAAAATCATCATGGCATATGTAGAACAAACCCACCCTTTCGTTTCTTTATGTTTAACCTCTCGCTTTACCAGACCTTCCATTTGTCCCGCCGTTCAAAGCTCCCCGTTCTTTTCCTTTTTCTTCCTTCTCATCCTTCTTTCTCTGCCGAAGGAATAAATGAAAGCTTGACTTAAAAGCATACAACAGCTCAGCCCAATCCATCATCCCATTACCCAGCAGAATGTCTATCCCTCTCTCTCTCTCTCTCTCTCTCTCTCTCTGAGAAAGAGAACAATGCCCAAAGGTTCACCACCGGCCACTGCCCGCGTCATCGCCGGTTGGTGCCGGTGGCGTGCCGTGAAAAGGCTGCGGCGAGTACGGGACATGATGTCTTTAATCGCCTTAGCTTGACCGTTGATCAAGGAGGTGCGCGTCCGGCTTATATACACACACCTACAGTGGACTTACATCCATAGCATTCTTTTTCGTTCACCTCGAGGATTCCTTCTTCCCACTTACACAGGTCCTCCTGAAGGGTTGAACGAGCTCTTTTTTCCTTTTGCTTTAAGAAACGCTGCCGAAGAGAGAAATTGGAATTCCCCTTGTAGTGGAAACTTGGGCGGTTCTCTTCGAAAGTACATTGGGAGGGGGATCAGCATATCTTTCCAAGATGGAAATGTAACTGTTGGCCATCGGGTTGCATATGGATCGTCACATTGCAGACTCCAATCAAACTCGGTGATCTTAGAGACACACACATCAATTCCGCCATTCCATGTGTCCCACTTACTTTTCCTTAAATCTATTTAAGTGCTCGTACGAAAAAGAGCGATGCCCGCTCGCCCAGACCCGACTGACGGCGTCCGGAGATCAAGCGATCCGACGGCGGAGATCGAGGTACGTGCGTTGGCACGTGAGAAAGACCCCGCGGTGTACCGTACCCTGCGTGGGCCCTCGATCTGTCTTGATGGATCAGTTCTCTGCGGTACGATGCGATCAGCGGGACCACAACGGGTTCGTCCACGGAGAATGGACGGCTGAGATGGTTTCGTCCGTGGGTTGGGTTGGGTTTGGTTGGGTTGGATTGGGCTGGGCGACGACGGAGATGGATATGAAAAGAAACGGAAAAGATAGCGGGCGTCGCTTGGCGCTACAAATAGCCGCAGGCGGCTTCTTCTTGCGACGATTTGGGGATGGATGGGTAACAGCCACGACGGAAACAGACGACTCGCCCTCCCTTCTTCTTCTTCGAGTCGAACCAGAAGCCCACCACCATCTGGCGGCGGTCTCGCGGTGATTTCTCCCTTCTTGCTGGAATTGAGAAGCTGGAGAGGGTGGTGATCGCTTTTCCTTGTCGGGAACGATCACGGGAAGCATCGTGGTTGAGTTCTTGGAGCGAATATGAGCTGATTTTGGTAAGAAAAGCCACGATGGTTCGTTGATCTGAATACTGTGGTTTTCTGATGATCTTTGGTTCCAAGTGAACATTAATTTCAATTGCTCCTTTAAAGATGCGTCCGTATGATCTTGTTCATCGCAACCCTCGTTTCTTCAGGAAGAAAAACCGGAGGTGTCTTCTTTCGATTGTCGTCAGATTGCAGATTGCCGGCAGGAAAGGAAAGCGGAACAGCAGCAGAAACACGGATTTAAAACGTGGTCAGGTACTTGGAACACTTGCCGTCTTATCCTTTTTTTTTTTTTTTCTTTTCTTCACGTTTGAGAAAGCTTTGTTGCTCTGGCAATATATCAAAGGGGAAAAGCGAGGGACGGAAAAATGAGAGACACACGAAAGGCATTGATGGTAACAACTTCTTCTGATGCCACTTTTCTCCGTGCAAATCTTCTCCTGTGTGTCTCCTCTCTGTTGTCTGCAAGTCTCCATGGAATGTGTTGAGAGAGATAGGAGGGAGGCGAGGGGGGTGGGGGACAGTGTAGACACAGGGGAGGGGGATGGGTTCACAGGTACCAAATCATAGCCGCTATAGGCTAAAACAGAGAGATTCCAAAATGCTGGGTCCCTTCCTCCACATCTCCGCCCCCGCCCCTCTGCTCTGCTCTGCTCTGCTCGAGCGTTACCTATTAAAGCTTCGCTCCTCGGATGTCGCGTGCGCACACTAATTACCCCTCTGCTGTTATGTTCCCATCAGAACCTTCCCCCCCTCCCTGCATCGCTCCCGTGCATCGTTATTATCCGCTTGATTCCATTGGCTGTACGATTAAAGTCGGCTCCTCCTCAACGCTGTTGCAACAGCAACCTATAGTTTATATAATAACCATATGGGATGGCAACCGAGGACCTGTCAGCGAAATCGTTGGTATTTATTCACTGTAGAAGCTGTGAAAAGACCAAAAAGCCGCCCCGACATCATTAAATTGGGATCGGGGGGTGTTCCAAGAGCAACAACGTAGCTTTGTTAGGCGTCTCCTGGGAATGGCAGTCTGGTGAATATGATTCTCGTGTTGCAGGTGTGGTAGGATCGGAAAGGACGACGACGACGGCGCACGGACGAGATGCTGGCCTGCATCGCCTGCTCCAAGCACGATCTGGAAGATGGCGGAGAGGATACCGCGCGTGCGGCGACCACCCCGAGCGGCAAAGAGGCCGTCAAAAGCCTCACCTCTCAGGTCAGTCTCAGCTTCCGCCCCCTTCCGCTTACCTCTCGGTGAGCATTCCTCGTTTCATTCTCGGCATTAATTATTGGCCAAATTGCAACGCCATTCACAAATCGCTAGTCGAGTGGGTTTAGAAGATAGGATAGTATTTGCACTGGGCTGAGAAAGGGAGGTTCTGGCGCTAGGACAGGTGCATTGACACCGGTGTCTTTGAACTGTGGGAGAGGGCAGCACCCAAAGGAGTGAAAACGACCGACCTGACCCCGTCTACTGCAAACCAAAGCTGTCACTCCACTTCTACTACGAGGACTAGCTACTGCAACTTTGCCTTGAAAGAACGAGAGATGCACATAAAAAGATACCCGAGTTAATGGGTGTCCGGGCAGCGGAAATAACTGTGAGCCCCATCGGTCCAAATTATAGGATAAAGGTTGGTCAAGGGGGATAGGACAGCGGAAGGCCCACCGTCTCTTTCTTTCCTACAGCAGGGGGGCTAATACTGCCGCTGTGAAGTGAGTGCGCGCGGATCCATAGACAGGGAGAGGGAGAGAGAGAGAGAGAGACGAGGTTTGTCCAAAAAGAGTGGGCTTGAGGGTGATTTCGCCTTCTTTTGAGGCTCGCCCGCTCACTGTACGCACTGTGTGGTTTTGTTCTTCTCTTTCGAGGGTGGGGTGCATAGGTTCGGGTCTTTTTTAAAAGAAGAGCTCTCCGATGGAAAGAGGTCCGTTGGATGTAACAAGGACGAGAGGCTTGTATGCGCCACGAAAGGAATAAAGTGGAGGAGAAGCAACGGCGGTGGTCCTCCTCCTCCTCCTCCACACAGTTTGCACTCCTCTACCGTGGGGCTACTTGTATGGTGATGGGCTCTTTATGGTGACCATTTAACTTGGCAAATAAGCGATCTCCACAGAACGTGGAGGTCCAACTTATTCCATTCTACTCACGCCACGCTGTGTGAGGTTTTGATCATTAATGTGTAGTGCTTAAGGAACTGATTAGAGTAAGGTCACGATGTTTAGTGGGTGGCTCGGTAATCAAACTTCATGTGCACCTTTAGGAAAAGGCACGCTCCTGGCATCGCTGTTTTTAGCCATTGAATAATACTATTAACCCGTTCAAAGTTCCAAAAAAATAAAAAAGTATATATTAGATTTTTTCTAATGGTTTAGGTTTTTAGGATTACTGATCGCCTATCAAATCTTTAAGATGATATGAGAAGGTTTCGTACTTACTGTGTACTCGCGATAGAGGTAATTAAGCATCTTTTCCGAATAGTTTAAGCCTTTGAGATCAGTGATCATCCAATCAAATCTTTAAAAACCCTGTTCGGTATTGGATGGATATCCAAAACAAAAAGGAGCAGATGGGACGGTGGAAATCGTGACCATCGGTTCGTCTTCTCCTCGAACCACTTATTGGTTGTCCATGGCTACGCTGTACCTCAACTCCATGATCCAAAATTCACAGATAAAGGACATGGTGTTGAAGTTTTCTGGATCGCATCGTCAGTGCAAAGGCGGAAGCTCGTCGTTCAGAAGCAAGAGCGTCCGGCATCAGCCGCACGGCTCCTACAACATCGACGACGCAGGCTCCGACATCGGGGGCCGCTACGGTCAGCTGCACGCCGCGAGCTCGAACTCGACTCCCGCATGGGACTTCATGAGCGTCAATGAGGAGGCGAGGTGCAGAGCCAAGTGGGCTCCCGGTCCCGGCGGCGGGATGGTGGCGTCGGAGGACGTGGTGCTGGAAGACGACAACGATCCCAAGGAGTGGATGGCCCAGGTGGAACCCGGGGTCCACATAACCTTCGTCTCGCTCCCTGGTGGGGCTGGCAACGATCTCAAGCGAATCCGGTTCAGGTTTGACGCTATCCGATGTCTGGATCACTTGCTTCGATTGGTGACGGGGGGATCTCTGAGACGGTGGTGGTTGTTTCTTGGTCAGCCGGGAGATGTTCAACAAGTGGCAAGCGCAGAGGTGGTGGGGAGAGAACTACGACAGGATCATGGAGCTGTACAACGTGCAGCGGTTCAACCGCCAGGCACTTCCTACTCCTCCCAGATCCGACGATGGAGGCGAGGTCAGTGGCTCACCTCTTCCTTCTCCCCCTCCCCTCCCCTCCCCTTCCCCCAAACTGCTATTTAGATCGCCTTTACGCCTCAAGTGTGCTCACGGTAAAAGACCAAAAAATATGTGGGACTCACATGCGGGACCCATCGTATTCAGAGGGAATCGTTCTGCTCGAGGGTCGGTTCGACTAGGGAGAGCCCCGTCGCGCCTCCCGTCGCCAAAGAACGGCTCACCACTCGGTACAACTACAGACCTCCGCCGCCGCCGCCGCCGCCGCCTCCTCCTCCTACCTCCGGAAAAAGGGTCTACTCTCCCTCGGTGCCGGATCCCTCCGAGCACATCCTCCCGCACTACCTTCGCTCTGCTGCTGCCGCCGCCGCCGCCGCCGGCGCCTCATCGACTGCAGGGGCTTCCGGCATCAAGGGGGAGACATCTTCGGTCGAGGCGTCGCGGACCACGACCTCGTCCAGAGACGAGGCCTCCGTCTCCGTCAGCAACGCCAGCGATATCGAGATAACCGAGTGGGTGGAGCAAGACGAGCCGGGTGTGTACATCACCATCCGCGAGCTCGCCGATGGCACCCGGGAGCTTCGTCGAGTCCGATTCAGGTAAACATGCGTCAGTACATGTGTTTACATCAACAATCTCACGCCCTGCGCATCTCACGGGTTTGGTGGTCGTGCAGCCGAGAGAGGTTCGGGGAGGTGCACGCCAAGCTGTGGTGGGAGGAGAACCGAGAAAGAATCCAAGCCCAGTACCTCTAGAACTAACCGGTCGGGGGGATTCCATACCAAAACATCAAGGATAAGAAAGAAAACAGAAAGAAAAGCAATTGGAGAAAGATATAATATGCCATACCCTTTTTGGCCCAGACAAAGCAGTCGCTGCTTGTCGTTGTAAAACATGGTGGTTTATCCTATCTAATGTCATTTCTGGTGGGTGTTTATCTACTAATCGTTCTGCCTTTTCTCAATTTATATTTCTCCTTTTTTTCCAAGTCAAAGGCGCAGCAAATCCCAACGCTATCTATGTTACCCAGTCTTTGCACATTACATTAGGCATCCACATATCCCACGGTCAAGTTCTAGAGAATCCAGAGTTACTAGAAAATTCTGTCTCTCTCTCTCTCTCTCGCACGAATCATAAATATAAGCATGAAAGTGATTCGAACAATGAAGGCAACAATTGCCGTATGGTATCGACCATAGTCGAATCTATACGTGTCGGTTGATAACAATGACACATGATCCATAGGTACATATCGTCTAGAAAAAATGAGAATAAAAAAAATAAGAATGCATATCGTCTAAAAAGAAGGCATACCACCGTCTGGAAAAATTAGAAGAACATAAGAAGGCGTAGCAAGAAAAAGGAGAAAGAGGAAGGAAGAAGAAACAACGAAGAAAGAGGAAAAAGAAAAGGAAGTAATAATGTACCACAGAAAATGAGAAGAACAAAATAAAAACGAATAGGAAGAAAGAGAAACAAACAAACCAAAGAGGCGGAGGAAGTGTGTGACGACGATAGGAGGCAACTCGTGAAAAGAAAGGCTCGTGAATCGAACCCTAACCCAATGTTAAATAAATAGTGTCTTTTTTTTTTTTTTAATAGACATGCCAAACCAGTCCACGATTCACGCTTAGGATGGAATCATACCGTCCATTTCAGATCAGTTCGGACGAAACGACATTCCATGATTGAAGGAAACGGAAGAAAGCTATACTGCCAAAGCTCAGACCTTTGTTTTCCACATGCTTCAAAAAAGCCTTGCAATTGATGCATCTTCTGGTCTTTCAGAGTCAGAAGAGATCTGACAACGGATGGACCGCTGAAAACAGAAAGAAAAGCTACCGATACAACCTGCAAATGCTGAAAAACTTTTATTGCTAATACATCCAATTTCTATATCAGTTTTCATGACGTTCACAATCCCAACATATGGATACACCTTATAAAAAAAATGCCTGAAAAGCATTTAAACTCTGTAAAGAATGGACATTTCCCTTTTATTTGCGCTCCTATAGCTGCCCACATAACCCATACCAATAGGAGGAACCTGAAACCATATCCACTGCAACTTCCATTACTTACTGTTGGTCTTTTCACTTTGAGAAAGAATATATGAGGAACTGAAATTGCAGAAGAGAGAAGAGGTGGGTGGGAAGAAGTTGCAGGCTGGCCTATTCTTGAAGTCACCATCATACTGAATACTATGTTATGTACCCAGAAAAAGAAAAAAGTGTTGATATTCATATCCTAGCCGGTTCGACTTCGAGGATTTTACCAAATCCTCACCGGGCTTTATTTTCTCATTGTTGACTCTGCTTTGCATACCACAGCTTCTTCTGGCATATTAGCACTTTCTCCTTATCTAAATTGTATTCTGTACTGTGTTTATTGCAGTTCCATCTCATCCCTTTGGCAATGGTAGCTATAGCGTCTAGAAAATAGCTTGATTCACGGATTATTGCATACCCGTCTGGACGCAGGATCCGATCCATCTCAAGGAGCACATATTTCATCTCACATCTGCCAAAATAGAAATAAAAGTCAGGACATGTGTTCTGCAAGCTGATCTATGAAGTTAGAAATCAGCAGCGGGAGAGAGAGAAGTACGCATATACAAAAGTGCAAATGCTGACACAGATCAAGTTGCAAAGACAGCAAAAACTAGAAATTTGTGAACTTTCAAGGAAAAAGACAATAGTGATGGCATGTCATTAATTTAAAACAATTAGGTGCAAGAAACAAATTCACCAACTAAAGCTAACCAGCAGAAGAGAGTTAAGAATGCCGTTAGGCAAATATACTTGATAAAGATAACTCAGTAGCCCAGACCTGCACCGGTTAATATGACCCAACTTTGAAGAACAATTTGTTATAACTGAAGTCATTGACGTCCATACTAAAAGCTAAATTTGAGCACAGAGTTTTACTATATATCAATACATAGATCATTGGTGAAAAAATAGTTATGTTTAGCAGGTCACCATAAAAAATAAATACTAGAACATTTTTACATCTATCCATTTCTGCAACATGTTTTTAGAAAGTTTTCTAAGACAAGCTTCATTGCAACGATCAGAAATAGAAAGAAAATCTCAAAAAAATCAAAGTGACAGAAACATAAGTCGAGTTATTTCACCTGTGGCTTTCTGCAGTAAATAGGCCATCAAGATGTAGGAGGTCATATGTTCGAGGATAAGTTGAGAATGGTTCACACCTAACAGGTGAATTCGGAAACAAAATATGAGAAAATGCTGACTAATTACAATGTATATCCGTTTAAACAAGCATGCCAAAGAAGTAGATGCTTTATCAAACTTTGTTACTTACCAGTCGTGGTACATGCCAATCAGTCCCCTGTCATAGACCACACCAAGGGAATTAGGACCATAAGAGGAAACCACATTCATTACCCACAGCGGAGAACTGATAAGTGCCGCTGCAAACCCTCCGTACAAAGTATTCATGTCCATAACATTGCGGATTTTGTCACTTCCAAGAGCAGGGAGCAAAGTCTTGTAGTGTTTTATCCTCACCTTCCATTTACTGTCATCATGCTTGAATCCACCAGAATTACCACCAGGGACCGTTGAAGTACGCTCTGGAGGTACACGCAACCGATCAGGCCATTTTGGTGCAGACGTCAGCCCCAACTTGTACGTTTGGCTTGGAATCGTCAAGCAAGTTCGAAGTGGGGTGTACCATGCTGAATCTGGATCCATGCTGTCGTCACACTTCGCAGGGTAAGAAGATGCAGTAAGTTGATCATAGCAACTATTATCTGCAGATTTCTGCCAAACAGCAATATCATCTTTTTTATTATATAGTTTGAAGCACATGCTAGTTAGCAGCTTCTTCAATTTGTCAAAATCTGCCTTCTGTTCTTCCACTGTTGTGTTCCACCCACGCCACCTGTTTTCATAGTTTACAGGTGGTCCAGAGAGCACCCAGAAGCCCCCAGGTCGAAGTATTCGGTGTATTTCTAGAAGGTAAATCCCATCTGAGACATAATAGGCAAGACTTCAGATACGAAGTGATCAAATCGCTTACTTGTAGTAATGCAATAAGAAAGAACGCAAGCTATTAGTGATGAATATAGTCATGGATGCATTAGTATAGTAATAGCAGGTGGAAAATACATCATTTTCATACTGTTGCGAATATATTGTCACCTGCTATCGCTTGATAAGCAACTAAATTTTGCAGTCATGTTACATAGCATTTAAATTGCATTCATGACTACTTGTATGCTATGTAGTCATGAATTAACTTTGTGGGACAATATCTCTAAAGAAAAGTAAGCAATTTACGATGATAATTTAGCTATATTAGTGAGCAGAAATATACCAAATTCTGTCCATGGAATAAGACATCTGGAGCAGTGGGCCATATCAAATGAGTTTGATGGGAATGGAAGACGCTGAGTAGAAATGATGCCTAAAATTGCTGGAATGCCACGTTCAAGGGCAAACTGTACTTGAGCTTCATGATTATCTCTAGGTGCAAGAGAAACGGTTAGAATACCACGGTCTAACAAATCGCCACCCCAGCTTGCAACCTTTTAAAAAAAAATCAAACAGTATGCCTCAGTTACCAATATAAAGTAGGTTTATCTCACTTAATCAGTAAAAGCAAAATAGATTATCATCTTAAGCAAATTCAATGTCAATATTGATATAAATGTACCTGAAAGAGCTAATGCTTAGAGTATCAGAAGAAAACACAATAGCAAACAGTCTTCAGAGTTCAGACAACCAAGGGGACTCAAATGTTTCCATCTAAGATTCTAAGTAGACTTACTGGAGTTGCCTTAACTAGTAATGCACTGACGTAAAATATGCAAAATAATTCTCAGGTTTGAAAACAACATTTGGTGGTGACTCTTTGGGGTTGGTTTTATGGATGGTTTCCTGTTTTTGACCTCTTTGGAGAGCAATATCACTAGTCAAACTAAGAGAAGTCCAGCATAAGTTGAAAGTTCCTATTCTTAGGTTAAGCGATGGACATCAAGAGAAAAGAAGACACCTAATCAAGTTGTGTTAGTGATGTAATCATGCCGGGAAGGATTAATCCACCATACTCGTGTCGGGAACTGTTTTAGGCAGTGCCTACCATGTCATGACATGTTGAACATTGTGTAAAATCCAAAGAGCAAAACAAGTTACACAACAGGTTATCATGGAAGCATTAGAGCTTCAGCAATTTGGCAGTTGTCAAATGAAGTAATACTATTTTACATTAGTTTCAGGCACATAACAAGCAATGCCAAAATGCTTATCCCCCAAGTATCAACATTTAAAGTTCATTTATTTTCTTTTTCATAATTTTTCCCTTAGAGGGCAGATAGATCGATGTTAAGTGTATGACGGACAGGCATGTTTTTTATCATGTAATTTTAAAAGCAAAGACATGCTGCAGTCAAATAAGCATGGAGATTTTCTAATTTCACTTAGAACATAAGTTGGTCGGTACTCACCCCACAACCAGTATCGATTGCAGTTCGGACAGTTCCATCCTTCATTCCAGGAATTAGATTTTGCATCAGGTCAACATACACACTAACTCCATTGGGAAACATGGTACCTCCACCTGGAAAGAAGAACCTGTCACCTTCTTTTCTGAGCCAATGTTGATTAGCTTTCTGGTTGTTTATCCAATCATAGGGAACATTTCTGGACCATAGATTGAAATAGAGGTCATGTCAGAAGTAACAACACACATTCAGAGTCATCCTTGGAAAAACGAACAGATGCCTTGTTTGCTGAAATGGACACCAAGATATTAGGAAAAGAAAGGCTTACCTGTACCAACATTGATCCTTGCTCTTCGGCCATCTGATCGGTGGTTTATAACCATCAGGAGGAGGAACTAAGCACTCTTTCCTCTCATTCATTGGTGGACAATGACGCTCCATAAAGCTTAACCTGTAATTACCATACTTTCTCCATCTCTGAGACCACAAGAAAATGTTTACTTTAAAATGAGGAACACGAGAAATGATAATAATTGTAACAACATGACCATGCATGACAACATGTAAAATTGTTTATCCATGCCAAAGTAACATAAAATCTACAATGAAATAGTGTGTGCATCAGAGAAATGACCACTTGCAGCATCATGAATTGTTAATTAAACAAGAAAGAGACACTTATACATGCAAATAAATCATGTAAGATAGGACCAAAATGGAAAAAATTGTGCCACTAGAAATAATAACATATAAGGAACATTGCAGCTGAACCAAGAACAAATTGAAACAGACAAGGCTACCCATTTGTTTTAGGTGGCACTAATGATCCATTTTCTTTCATCAGCACTTATTTACATAGATCACATAAATACTCATCCTACTGCCATCTGACCTTCAATCGCATCATGTATTTAAACAAACTTAGGAAGCAGAAGCTGAAATTACCTTTGGGTCTGTGCATGGTGTGAAATCTTGATAATCAGTGCTACACTCTGGAAACTCAACAGCCTTTATTTGAAGAGAAGCCACTGCAGTTTCTTTCGAAGACTGAACTGCTGGTCTTGCATCCTTCTTTACTATTCTGTTCTTTTCAGAATAATAGATTCCTCCAAGATAAAAGGAAATTCCACACAAGGCAATTACCATTAAAGTCATGGGGACAACCCGACATCTTTTATCATGATAAGCCCCCGGCTTACTGTCTTTCTTCTTCATTTTGATTTAGAAATGAAAGGGCTGCAGACAAAGATAGGAAAGTGTGTAACAAAGCAGCCCTGGAAACCATAATCATTTTCAGCCACAATAAACCGACTGCAATACTGAATAATGAAATGAACATGACACTATCCAGTGTAGCTTATATTTAGGTGAATGAAATATTAAGCTTGAAAGGAGAAGGAATATGTATCAATATAAAATTTTAAGGAAAAGATCCTCTAGCTCAGCCAATTATACACGTTCTGAATTTCAACAAGCAGAACTCCAGTAACACCAAAACAACTTAGTAGGTGGAGAACTTCATCTCCTACGTCAAAATACAATTACTACAACTATTGTGAACTTTTCACAATAGGCAATTATGTTAAGTTACCACTTGAAAATCTTCCAATTCTATTACAGTCAAATATAGTTCAACAAAGATTTTTCAGGATGCTGTGGAAGTCGCACTTACTGGTGAGAGATACCTAATGAACAAATTTTATCTTCACATCTGATGATGAAAAAATCAAAGAGTTTATGTTTAGCTTTTACTCCTAGCTAACCAGACAACGAATATAATCATAGAGAATGAACTATGGGTTGAAACAGAAATTCCCAGAAGATTCAAATTCAAACTGAATATACAGCAAATGCATTAATCCAAGATCTCGAAGAATAAAGTCAGCATGGCGGTCACGAGGAAGCACAACAGCAGAAGATGAATCTAAACAGAGAATTTAATGACTGAAACAGAGATAGCCTTTATAACAGCAGTGACCATCAGACAAAAGGGATCTAATTTAACGACACAGACTGATACAGATCCATTTACTTTCGACCTTTGTGTACCATATGAAAAAATATATGTATCAAAGACAAAATCAATCTAACCATGCAGGTAGCAAAAGTCAACACTAGTCTACTCACTAGTCCAAGAAAAACCTACACATGAAGATAGAACTAGAGTAACACTAAGGAACTTACATCTTCCACAATTACATAACCTATAGGAAAAAGCAAAAGAATCACAGGAAGAACAGCAACTTCCTAAACACGACTTTCGAAAGGATCCACATATGAGATAGCGAAAGGATAAGGACTTGAGAGTCCAGACTCATTCAAACGGTTTGGGGGAATATGGAAAAGACCGGCAAGGGTTTATCACCGACTAGCAAATGCCGTCTATTAACAACATCAGAGACGTCGATTCACGAGGGCGATCGGCGTAAACTCAAATCTAACTCCAAAAGATCACAAATCACAGTACGAGTACCTGAAGAGAAAGAGTCCGGTTTCAATCGGAGAACCCTCCTCCCCCCGACCAAAACCAGAGTTTCGATTATAGCATGAGATGACGCGACGAGATCTCGTCGCCCGAATAAGCAACCCCGCCGACCCTGATTCCTCCTAGATCACAAACATGATGCGTCGCCTCTGCCTTCCTTCCCCCAAGCTTCCACTTCCCTTTTATAGCTGCCCCTGCCTGCCTTCCTCTGGCAGTCGGTGCTCTTTCCCTAGTGGTTAGTTACGAGCGCAAAACGGTAGTAAATAAACGAGATGGTAGAAGCTGGTAATCGTTGTGCCGCTCGCCCTCTTTAACAATGCTGTGGTGGCGCAACGAACACGGTGAACCGTCCTGATGTCCTTCCCGATTTGGGTGGATAGAGCGGCTCTCTAGTTGTCCGGTCAGGCCATAAATTGAACCAGACCCGGTTTACGGAATCAGGCTGACTCGGGTCCACATCTGGTCCATCTGATGGTGCCCAATTTGTCGGTGAATTGGATTTAGTGTATGACGCTTTCCTCCATTACAACAACCCTCTATAATAGTTTATTGGCAATAGGCCTAAACTAGTCCAGTTTGTTGGTTCGGTAATCAAGCATGACCGGATGGGTCACTTCACGTCACCCAACCAAAGTTGGTTCGATCGCACAACGGAAAGTGATTCGAGCCTAACACACTCAGAATATAAATGTGGGCCAGCCACGTTAACGAGCGCGGTCAGATCAGATCGTTCCCATAGAGAACAACCTATTTCTTGGCAGTTAGTGGCGATAGGCACGAGGAAGGCGGGACCCATCGCATGTATGATGGTCAATCCATCGTTGCCCTTTTGTCAAAACGCGGTGTGCAAGCATGAACGTAGCGACAATTGGATCTGTCAGATCCCATTGGAGTCGCATGTAAGTGTTTTGCTTTCAACTCATCTCAACAATATAAGGTAAGTACTGTATGGCAAATGCCGCTTTGCATTAATCAAAGTTGACAGGTGGAGCCCATAGTTGACTCTGTGGGCAAAGGAAGGTGAGATGGCTTTGATTGATTGCCGACAAGCGGATGCCTTCTGGCGCTGAGTGTCTCGTACTCTTTTATTCCTCCGTGCCGCGTCCGGTGGTGGCTCCGTGAACCCCACGGCGTCTTGGAAGGCTGTTAGTGCAGAGCAATGTGTGTGATTTGTTTGTGCTATTATTGCACGTCGAAAGGCTTACGGCCTCTTTGATGCAGAACGCGACGCCTCCATCACCGGTGAGACCATGCATGGCCTACGGATGACTTGGGCGCTTAGGTTGACGGTAACTCGCCAGCCGACGGCCGGTTGGTTGCAGGAGGGTTGGTGGCGAGTCGCCGACGGTCTTCACGTGCCGCCATGTGACTACGGCTGGCGGCCCCATCTCGCGTGGTTTGTCTCGTCGTTGCCACTGATCTACCCCGCCGCTTCAGCTCACTGTGTTTTCTCTAGTCGAAGTGATTATATATTTTCAATTTACCTTTTATTGTCTTAACTAATGAGAATACTCTCTTCATGTTAATAAATATGATATCCCCTACTCCTCTTGTAGGGTTCAATGGGATAATTAAATAAATTTTTAAAAATTAATTCGATATAATATATTAACTCAATTCGATTTTACGTGTGATAAGGGATCATTTGGTCAACGTCTCTAAGGGAGGGAGATCGAACTTATGAGCTCTTGATTCTCATACTCCTTAATTAATGTCGTATTTGCAGGCAAACGGTCACCCCCGAGCCACAAGCGTTTCGACTTGGGAATCGCCATCCAGTAAACGAAAGCGGGCTACCAATCAGCCCGGGAACGGAGAGACGCTACTCAACGCTGATAGCGCCTGGATCGAGAAACGCTAATCAACATCCCGTCGCGAGGGTCCGACCTATCTCGGCGTCCAACTCAGTCGACAAAAGATTCCCAACATCGACCAATGAACCGAGCCGTGTTGACTCACCAGCCATGACACATTTATTCACCAACACCACTCGAAATGGTTACTCTAACTTATTCGGATGATAAGTCTATTATACTTTTATATTAATGTCAAAAATATCATTTACTATCCAGTTTTGATTGGTGTAAAATATTCTAATTCGATCGTATCTCTTTGCTGGCTCTAAATTTATAGACGATGAATTAAGTTTATTACGCTGAATTATGTTGATTAGAAGGGTTTGGTGGCCGAGCAATCGACCCTCGATAAGAAGAGAAGTCCAGTCTGGTCTCCATTCACGAGCCCGAGTGGAACGCGGGAATGGGATCCGCTGGTGCGGAGGCTAAACCCTACCTCCCAAGTCCCGACCCGAGAAACGAGGGGTGCGTCCCGCGCGACTTCCTCCGCCTCCAGCTTACTAACACTGAATGACGCTCCGTCCGCCGATCTCGTTCCCTTCGCCCTTTCCTTTCTGTTACCGTCTCCGGCGAAGAAGAGAAGATGTTGGTGGGTGGCGTTTCGAGGCGATGAGTCGCTTCCGTAATGCGATCCGCTGGCGCTTGTCGCTGCGCTTCCTCCTCCCCTGCTTCGCAACTCTTTGCCCTCTATTCTCAGGTAAGAAAGAACATGTAATTTCATTTCCTTCTCTTTCCTTTCTTTCCGCTGACAAATTGATGGTAATGTCTGATTTCTTTGATGCTAAGGATTGTCGATGGTGACAACGCCCTTGTGGCTTGTCCGGATATCACGTGCATAATCATATGAATTTTGATATGGTCGTTAGTGTCTGTGCTTTCCGTTCTTTGGGAACGTTATAGGCACGGGGGGACCCATTAGCGCCTGCAAGGTGCTTGTTGAAATGGTGATGTGACTTTAGAGTAACAAAAAGAAGAATGGGTCTGGAGATGGCTGACAGAAAAATGAAATCACGAGCAAGCCGAGTTTGAACAAGATCAGAAGTTGCAATTCACAGTTCCTGGTCTTTATACAAAGAAGTTTAGTGCATTTGTGACTGTACAAAAGCGATAAATGTAGATTATCTAATAGAAATAAAACACATTTGATTGAAGTTTTATTTCCAGTCCTGAATTGAATTAAAAAGTGAACTGTCATTTAAAATATTCTGGCTTTTCTATTGGAAAATAAAAAATTGCAAGAGAGTTACTACAGAAATTCTCAAGAATGGGAAATTTATTACCAAAATAACTGATTCCACATAGGATTCTAGAGTGATCTGTCTGAACTTGGAATAGCTGGAACAATTTTTAGGTTGGTGTGTGTTAGAGCTGTATCTAGTCATTGTACGTTGATAAGTGGACATGGCATTTTTTTTGGAATATAATGTTTCATTTTTAGTCTGGATATCTCTAACTTTTTAACATAAGTTGTGATGTTCTATTGAATTGCTGCCTTGCCTTCTTTCTTTTTCTGTGTTATTTCAGATGTAAACAATATTTTCTTTCTCACCCTGTGTTATTTTCATCATGTTGACAATGTTTTCACACATCTGAAAAGGGTTCAAGATCTTGTGAATAACTATTTACAGTCTGTGTTATTTCCAATCTATGCATCATGAGAGGTTTTTACTAAAGAGGCATCTAACATACAGGCAAGGGTATTTAACATTTGGGCAAGTTAAATAGTGGTGATTAGGTGGAAGAGTATGTTACTGTATGGCAAGGGCTGGGTTGGCGTCAACTGGTGGAGATGCAGATGAGAGCATAAGAGAATGGGTGTAATACCGGGAGGGATTGCTGTAATTTTAGATAGAGGTGCATGGCATTAGTAACCATTGAAGTTATTGAGCCTCCTATTCTTGGGGCGAAAGAGATCTTATTTCTGATTGTGGTTAATCAATCTGCAGTCGGAAGTAGGTAGCATATGACAACATTGGAGACTTCGAATCTGTCATATATTAACTAGAACCTGACCTTGTGTTGCATGCAATGATTTACAATGTAGAAGCAGCATTTTTTGGAAAGATAATACATCATGCACAAGTTATAGTTTTTTTAAAGAGGCTATTGTAGGGTAGAAAAAGATGAAACTGCCCATTGTTTGTCCTGCAGATACCTTTCTACACATATACATGCTCTTGCAGGTCAAAAAATTTGACCAGGAACCTGCACAAGGGATACATTTTGAATGAAATAAAGAGCTATTTGTTTTCTTCTGCTACTTATATATGATGTGTCTTATTACTTTATCACAATACTGGTCTTGATAGTTGATTTTATTTTCCTATCTTAGGAAAATATGCTGCACACTCACAAGGAGTTGATAAGATCTCACAATTGGACATTAAAGCCTCAGATCACATGAAATATACCTTTATTAAGGTCCTTGATGACCATGGGCCAGCAGGAGTTGTCATCTGGACAGGAGGGTTCTGTTGCCTCCCATGAAACAAGCCAGCCTCAACGCATCAAATTTAAAAGGCTTGACAAAACTGCAAAGCATATTATGAATGTAAGCCAAGTCTTGTGGATGCTAAATTATTGATGATATGTCTCCTTGATAAATTTGTTTTGCTGTTGATCTTGATGATTTGATGGAGAAGTTTGTGTTTGTTATTGTTAAGGAAGTAATAGTAGTTTGTTGTCTCCTTCTTTTAGTACTAAATAGTTTCTAAAACCTACAGATTTTAGATAACGAAGCAGTGGACAAAGTGCAAACTGAGAGAGAAATTCCTGACATAAGACCTGGGTATATCGTCGAGCTGAAAGTGGTATGGCACTTTTTTGTTGTTGAATTTTTCTTTTTTTTTCCCCTGATCTATGGTGTCAACAGGAGGTGCCTGAGAACAAGCGTCGAACATCCATCATAAAAGGCATCGTCATAGCAAGGCGGAATGCAGGTCTGAATACCACATTTAGATTGCGTAGATTGGCAGCTGGCGTTGGGGTTGAATCCGTCTTCCCTTTGTAAGTTGACTACTATATGGAAGAGTTTCATTTTATGTTTTAGTCAAAGATACCATTGATATAATGTGCTATTTCAGTATTCCTGGCTTTAGCTATCTTGTACTGATATCACTGAAAGAACATAGTTTTTATGTTCTTTCCTTCAATTACTGTTCATGTCAGCGAACATGTTAGAAAGCCTGATTTGATATTTTTAACATTTAATGTTTCACCGATTATGAACTCAATTCTCAGGGAGTTCAGAGATACTATTTTGATGACCAAGTATCAAGTACAGTAGTCAAAAATGACATTGGTAGATATTAGTCATTGAGATACTGAGAATGAAACTTATGGTTGAGGTGAAGTGGAACTGCCAAGTGTTACATGTGCCTTGTCACCATACTAGTTTACTAGTGCACCGATCATATTGACACATGAAACATTTTTTAAAACTTTCTTATTGGTGTATGAGGCATATCTAATCTTTCTGGTTCGTCTGTACTGGTCTAATAAAATTCAGCATGGGTACTGCCAGACAAGAATAACTTTAGGCATACATAAGGTATCCCATATCGAGCTTTTTTGGATGGTCTAATTGTCTTTCATTATCTAATGTTCTTAAACTGAAAATTCTGTTTTTGCTAATTGATTACCTGATGTTTGCTATTGCAGATACTCTCCGAACATCAAGGAGATGAAAGTCGTAGACAAGAAGAAAGTGAGGAGGGCAAAGCTTTATTACCTCAGGGACAGGATGAATCCACTCAAGAAATGATGATCTTATCACCAGTTTGTTGTTATTCTACTAGTTCATAGTCCTCATGTTATCGATTGTATCAAGTTCCTAATTTGGTATTTGGCATCTGAAGAGATGTGGGTTTACTATTGTTCGTTTTAATCTCCAGTTTGAGTTTTTACATGAACATCTGATCATAAACCATTCTACAGTTTCATCAACCGTGTTGTTCATGGTCCTCCTGTAGATATGTTTACACAGGCTGAAAGCGAGTGCGCAGTGGATCAACGTCATGCCATTCATATCTACTCTTCTGCCGTCGAACAAAAAACTTCACATTATTAGATGAGAGAGACAGATGAAAACAATCCCAAACAGATTCCGCACATGCATAGAGGGTTTTCTTAGGAGTTTGTTTTGCGCCGCATCACGGGTTCGAATCACTACTGGTTCTCTTTCATAGGCTCATAAAATAAATTAAATATCAAAATATACGATTCTAATCCCTCCGTCTCCTCTTCTGTTTCCCATTGAGTCGAAACCTAACCCTTCCCCTCTCGGCCGGTAATTCCACTATTTTCTTCCCTTCGCCTCCCCCGACGCCGTCCGTCACCACCATCGCCATCCTCTCCTTCTCCACATCCTCCCTCGTTCCGATCCCTTTCCCTTCTTCTCCCAATTGCTCCTCCGGAAAGCGCGGCAACCACCGCGGCACGTGCCGGAATGGCGGCTCCCGCCCCGCCGCCGCGAAGCTCGTCCATTGATTCCCTGGTGTTTCTTGATTACCGTCCCTCCGGATGGGCCTCGGGAAGGGGACCTCGTCTACCGACTGCACGAACGCCATGAGCCCACTAAGCGCGCCTGACCGCAGCGGCGGCCCTGTCGGGTCGGCGGCGCCGGCGAAGCCGTGTGCGGCGCTTAGGTCCTCGATCGCCCGGACGAGGTCGAGGATGTTAGCGTCGGTCCGGCCGTTTGCAGCAGCGATGTGGGCGGCGGAGCGACCCAGAGCCAGGATGTAACGACCGGCGACGTCGGAGAGCGCGCCAAGGGCGGAGGGCTCCGCGGCAGTATAGCCGGTTGAGAGGCAGATCTGGGCGACGGCCATATTGGAGAGTGCCGCGGGGAAGGCAGAGGGGGGAGAGGGAGGAGAGGGAGGATGAGGACCGGTAGGCGGAAAGCGCCGCTGCTCCTTATGCCTTCGCCGCTGTGGCGGTGCCATGCATGGCGAGGGTTTGAGAAGATGGAAGACCGGCGGCAGGGACCAAACCCTAGTTCCTTCGGCGCGGAGGGGTGGGTTGACAAAGCGTACGAAGTGTTTGCTTTATTGACGATCTCGTGGTGCTGTGTTAAACTAATTGCCTTCGGATTCATCATAAAGTATAATTTGGAATGTGCAGACGCCGCCTTTTTTTTTGGGGAGCTTACGGCCGGCTCGGGTTAGAGGCATCGAATCCATAGCTAAGCTAAATGTATTATGGTTCGATTACACCTACATCTCGATCCAATCCCGCTGGGCGAGCTTTGGGTTGGTCGCCCAAATCTGCATCGCCAAGCTAACCAGACGTTTTGTTCCATGCCACATTGAGGTTCACGATCGACCCCACTGCAGCTACACTTAATGTAGAGAGCTTTCCATGAATGTTCATTAGGAGACAGACGGTGAATGATCTCCGAGTCAACCAGATGGAATTTGAAGGACCAATTAACCAAAAGGAAACTTTTTATTGAACTGCTCGAGTGCAAAGTCAACAAGGTTACTGCTCAAGTGCAATGTCTTTCTCATCATTCCGTGAGGCAAGAAAGGCAGCTATTGCTTTCTGAAGAAGAAGAAGAAGAAGAGAGCAAACCATCAGCGAGGCTTCAAATTAGTGCATGGTTTGAGAAGACAAGAAGAGCCGACACAGAAAGCAGCCAAACCTTCCCAAAATGGTTCTCATCGCATCAAGTAGCATCTGGTCTCCCGTGATCTCCCTGATGCTGCATACCATTTGTTCCCTGGTAATCTTCTTCTCCTGCACGAGTTGCCATGCTATCTCAACAACAGCATCTACGCAAAGACGAGCGTGTTGAGAGTGTGCGGCTGCAGCATACCATCTTATCGTTGTGCAACCTCCACAGTTGGCACATCGTCGAGTGAGGCAGTCTCGCCGACAGCGCGGATAGCAGGTCTCCGATGGACATCCATGGTGAAGTAGGTCTGCTTACAAGCGCTTGATGAAGAACTCTGTTACGGAAGTCCACTTCCACGCTGAGGACGTACAAAGGCAGCACACGGGACTGGACATCAGGGTACCATATGATGTATCTGGTGGGAGATCTGTGGTTGTCCACGGCAGAGTCGAAGTTCCCGGAGCTGGGCCGAGATTGTCCGGAGCCACGCACGACTTCTTCTGCCCCGCCCAAGATCACCCGACAAAGCAGCACATGCCTCAGTCCTTTCTCATCAACAGTTGCAGACATCACGCTGCGAACGAAGCATAGTGACGAACAGGTACCGGGCACGGTAAAATGGATGGCCTACGAGGCAAAGCAGTGGTATCTACCATCACCTGTTGATGGCACATGGCTCAGGGGAGAGGTACAGGGCGATGCCGAAGTAGCCACCATCCTCGGGCGCCGCAGACACATCAAACCCGTCGTTGATGATCCGTTGCACGTTCCTCTTGGAAGCCTCATAGAATGCGAACCTCTCGTTAGGGTTTCCGCCATGCTTCTGTTTCATGGCGTCCACCTGACGGTTGAAGGCTTCCAGTCGTGCTCTTCCGGTGGGCGTGGAGTACAGAATACGGTGGAGCTCCACCAAGGGACAGTGGGGCACGGTGGAACCCATGTTCGTGTAGAACCGGTGCTGTATGATGACGAATTCATCGCTGTCCTTGTCCACTTTGATCATCGCATCACCGCCCGCAAACCCACCCGTCGCGGGTCGTCCGGCCATTTCGCCACCTTCCTTTGCTGCATTAAACCAGACACAACACAATCGAGATAGAGAATCAAGCCACGATCGGAGAAGACAAAGTCGCCGCAGGAGAAAGGAATAACCTTGAGACGGATCACGAAGCTTTCTTCACGGCGTGGGCGGAGGCGGCAGGGAATGGCGGCAATAAATAGCAGTGAAGAGGCGGCCTCCGGCCCTCTTCGGGGCCGGTGGGGATGGGATGCATCTTTTTGCGGCCTTGCACCGTATCCACCGGGAATTCTTATCGGAGGCCAAATGACGTATTTGCCTCCTCAGGCATTTATTGCATAAAGCGTGCACTTTACTTTAGATACGATTTATAATGAACGGAAAAGCGGCACAACAGTGTGGGTATTCTTGGCATTAGGAAAAAGTCCTGGGCAGTACGGCTAGGAGAGCAAATCCGACGCAGGGGATCTGCGTATTAAGTGTCTTCCTGAACCGTCCATTCCATTTTCTGTTTAATCTGGACCGTCCATCGGTTGGTGGAGACTCGGAGAAGAACCGTCGGAGCATTGGCGTCTGTCCATCCGCTGCTTCGGCACGTAAGTGACTACATGAATTAAAATTTAAGTTTATATAAGAAATATTAAATATCTTAGTTAAAATAAAAATGTTACTCTAAAAGGATGAATGTAATTCATTGAACAAATAAAGAAGAAAACAAAGATGAGATAAGCAATGACGGGTGATGGATTAGAATTTTGGCTTTAATATCTTTTATTTTTTTCTCTATAATCCATCTTAATTATTTGTTAAAGTCCATCACCTTTTTCGATATATTTTCCCACAAATACATCCAACTTCCAAAATATAATCCTACTGTGTCTCCTTTCCACCCAACTTTTGGTGCCAAGCTTCCTTAATCTTACAATAATATGAAAAAAAATTGATTTAAATTATTATCGTTCATAAAAATAAACTTAATTTTTGTGACTATTTTATTTACACTCTTGGAATGTTAATTTGTTGTTTAATTTTTTTGGTCTGATAGATGTTCCACATGTTCATATGATGACATGGCCCAGACGGGGCCCAAATGATGCTCGGCCGGCAGTGTACCCGAGTCCTCATATGATGTTTGGCCCAGACGGGGCCCAGTCGACGGAAAACATGAGCCTGATGAGCCTTTGGTAGTTTGGGCTGGGAGAGGGGCTCAACCGCCCACATCGAATCGTTCCGAGTCGGTTCCCGATCATCCCGCTGGCTCACTCCGACTCGTTCAATCTCTTTCTCTCTCTCATACCCACACCGTCGCCCGTTTTGCCCCCAATTCCAATCTCTGTTATTCCAATCCTCTCTCTGTTATAAATATGCGAAGGAAACGATGCAATCAGGCATGAGACTCCCGAGCGTTTCATTATTTCCAGCCCTAATCCCTTCCTGCCCCTCTCGCTCTGTCTTTCTCTTCTCCCCCACCTTGCCCTCCCCCGCCCGCTGGTCGCTGCCGTTCGCCGCCTCTCCCACGGCCCACGAGTCGTCGTCCGGCCGGTGGCCCACAGCCGACCGCCGCTGGCTTCCGCCATCACACCGGCGCCCGTCTTGATTCGCCCCGTCCTCCGTTGACCCTTCCTCCCGCTGCTTTTGCTTCCTGTTGAGGCAGGTATGGATGTCAGCACTCGATGGATCACTTGCTTTTGCTTTCTGTATCCCGTTCGTGACGTCTTTAGGGTTTTTACGATTCCGATTATTTTTTAGTGAGGGAGAATTTCGATTGGCGAATTCAACATTTACGTTCACCATCGATGAGGTGCAAACTTCATGGTTGCCGAATCTTAGAGTGGTCTAGTGTAAACGGGAACTTAACTCTCGATTCACATATATTTAGCTGGTAACTTGAAATAGCATCTGCTTGCAGATGAGCATGAGGTTGTACCTGTAGTTTGTTACAACCTTTCATTAGGTTTTTCATATTCCATCAACATGTATCCCAACGACCCGTGAAATGATTTTTCTGGCCGAAGAAGGCTTTCACCACCGATAATGGGATTCATTTCGTGTCAAATCATGCATTGAATAGTTCTTGGAGGGAAATCAAGACCGATTGGGTTACAATTTCAAAAACCTCGTGTTGGATCTTCATGTGATCGAGTGTTCTTGTTTGCTGTAAATTAGTTAGACATTTAAGTTAAAAGTCCACGCAGGTTCTAGAACTTTCTCATAATGATGTGTATTTTTTGTTAGTTCTTATGATTTTTAAGTTTTTTCCACATAAAACCAATGGTCTCACCGTCAATGGACAACTCAGCCTGAGACACAACACGGATATTTGGAATGCTAGTGGATTGGGAGAACAAGGAGAACTTCTGTTAATCCCTTCTCTTTCTCTTCAAGCCACACCTCGAATCATTCATCTTCCACCATAACTTTGGAACTTCCGTATGTCAAAACTTTGATAAATCGTATTGCCGAGAAAACTTGATGCAGTGACCACAGAGAGTGAAATTCATTTTTTTTTTTTTGCATGCAGTAAGTAATGACAAGCTACGTGTGGAATTACTTATTCCCCCATTTTGCATGATAGAAATGCATCGAATAAAAAGAAATGAGAGGATGTCTATATATATGAAAGTATACGTGCGTGTATTTATGCCTGTCGATGCTGATCCAACCGTTCTAATTCTTGAAGTGGTTATCGTATACAATTCTGACCTAAACAGCACCAACTGAATCTTAGTAAGTGGGTGCCATATTAAGATTCTAGAGTACGACATCATTCTTTTGAATAACATTTCTTGCCAGTGAGGCTTGTCGTCCATTCTTTGATGCTCCCAAATTTAGTAATCAAGGGATAATTTCTGAGAATTATTTAATATAATGTATCCTTGCTGACTCTGACATCTCTGGAGCTAGAAGTTATGTATGCTTTAAAATGGCTGTAATTTATGACACTAGTTGTTAAGTGGCTTTGTGTTTTTATTACTGTATATGTATTTTGTGATATTTCACAGATCATTACTGACAGTACACTGAGTGACTTAATTCACAATTGCTTTGAATGTCTGATGGCTATGCAATTTTTTTGTAATATAATTTAAAGTGATTATCTCAGATTTCAACTGGTGGTAGCTAGCTCCTAGCTCTGAAGAAATTATATACAACTTGAATATTGATGTTTTTCTCTCTACTGGAGTAATCTATTTGTCTTGTGTATTCTGTTTATAAACATATGTCTTAGAAAGATATAATATTCATATGCATATGCATTTGTGGTTAACATGCTGTACTAATTATCAGACATTCTGATTTGGCTTTACTTTGTGTACAAAAATTGCTGGATGTTGTGCAGATAGTACGAAGTTATAGAGTCAGTTGAAGAACCAATCAGATATTTCAAAATCAACTTGTTTTAGGGTTGGCCTTATTGACTAAGGACATAATATCTTGCTCTCCTGAAGATTTTGGATGAGTGAATCTACAATTTTGCCATCTTTATGGCTCAACATTCATCACGTCTTCATCGCCTGCTCACTTTATTGGATAGTATCCTCTTCATATCTAGAGATCATGTTCATGTTCTTGCTTTGGCTTTTGCTTTTAGTTCATTTCCTGACACATCAAACAATTTTTACCTTGTTGTCATCTAATTGTTGCCTAAGCTTCTATGGTGTTTTCTCAAATATTCTTTAACAAAAACTTAGCTGGTTCAACTCAAGCAACAAGATTTGCTGCCGCACGGCAAATTGGAGATATTGCAAAGTCACATCCTCAAGACTTGAACTCCCTTCTAAAAAAGGTAGCATTTTAACCTTTTGTTCCTAATTCCTATGTTCTACTTGTTTTATGATTGCTAATTTTCTAGTCCAAGTTTGACTTGGATTGTGTATCTTCTTTAAACTAAAGCTTTCTGTATGCTATTTTTAGTTGCTAGTTTAACTTAGGATCTCGAGTATGTACATGCTTGATATACAGAAGGTAAATTATACTATTTTTTGTTTTTGCTTACTCAACAATGGGAAGCTAGTAAGGCTCTTAAGTTTGCATGACTAAATGTCTAACAAGATCATAGTCGTGTGGTTAAATATGACAATTTTAGCATTATGCTATTTGCTTTTGTTGTTGTGTGCGTCTCCATGTTATTTTTGTTCTTGTTGTTGCTTTCAGTATTTCCCGACACTATTTTAAACATGGTTCATCTTACTAGTCCGTGCCGGTGTACTAACCAGCTGTTGGTATAGTACGTACTGATTCGTACTGAGCCATATTGATATATGGTACATGGGGGCTTACCGATGTATCGCTCATATCGGTCCCCTATCGGATCGGTATGTACTGTCCATACCGAATGGTATGCTGCAACATGACGAACCTTGATTTTAAATTTAAAATATTTTATATCTAAAATTTACCCTGTAGAGCTATTACAGTTTTAACTTTTAACCATGGTGTGATGTTTCAGTTACCAGACCTGTATGGGTCCAGCAGTCTGTGCCATCATACCAACACATGGTTGGTTGGCACATATTGCTAAACTTTTTCTAGAGTTGAGGGTCAACTCTTAAAAAAGATGTTGAAAGGTGCGTGCTGCGGTCCATGCTCCTGACCCGAGAGGCCATTGGACCAGTACGTTCCTATCCTGGCCAAACATAGAAACCATCGTCTGAAGTTTGAGCAAGCTGGGTTAAGAATTTTCCATCTTAAATTAGGTTACCCAATATGGAATATGATTGATGATTTTGTGGATGGAGAAACAACTATTTGCATTTTCAACAGGCTAATGGATTCTTCCTCGCATTTATTATGGCCGGCTGATTTTTTTTGTTCTTCTCCCTCTTTTCTTAGTGGGGCATCATGTCATGTCTTCTGGACCTGACAATCTCAACCTTCTCCTTGCTAATTCTCTTTGATTCCTAATGCACCTTTGTGCATTTTCTATGTAAATATTAGATGCCTTGTGTCTGTTTACTTTTTGGCTTTAAAATAGGTAGATCCTCATCTTTGTTATTTGAAAACTGGTAGATCCTATTGATTTGTTGTTCTCATCTTTGTTGTTTGAAGTTTCTTTGCTTACCTCTTAATTTAATTTAATTTAATTTCTTTGCTTACATCTTTGTTATTTTGCAACTAGGTATTGAAACTGTAATATCTTCTTTGTTGAGCCAAGCTTCTTATCGATGTCATGCTTAACTTTAGCCTCAGTAGCCTCTTGAGTCTATCTTCATTTTGAGGTGGAAGTTGAATTTTATGCGTTTGTTTGTTGTCTATCTTCTTTGTTCACAATTATTTATGGTTCGTTACCTATGACATTGACTTGGACTTTGTGCCTTACTGTTATACTTGCTGGTAGTTGACTGGGATAGTATACATCTTTGCTGTTAGTTGACCTTTTAAATTAAGTAGGTTGTGATGTGGCCATTCTTCTTTATTATCCTATTG